GTGCGGCCGCGACTAGCCGCAGCCCAGAAGTTTGGGGCTGCGAAGGGAAATATGGCCCTCAGGGACCTTGCCTGTAGGTACAGGTGAGCGCCAGGGGGGAGGAAGGGAGTCGTGAGAGGAGGCGAAGTGAGAAGGTAGATCTGGGGTTTGCACGTAGTACCATTGTACGTGGCGAGGGCCCGTGTAAAAGCCACGGCTTTACGTGCTGAGCTAAGCCATGCATTTTTTCTTCGCTGTGATTTAAAAATGGAAAATAAATGCAGGGGATTACATCCGTGAGGCAAACGCCTGAAGAGAAACCCGGTGAAGCATAATCCCGGTGACCGTCTGATCCCAGAAGCCTGACGTAGCGTGAATGCTGGTGCCATTACCGAGTACCCATTGCTGGCCGCTGAGCTCGGCCGGGCAACACGGTGTCCTCCAGCTATCACTGCGGCTCATCCTTTCCAAAAGGAGCACAGTCTCACAGGCAAGTCATCTCTGACAAGCTGAAGGTAATGCGTAAGTGAAGAGGAACAGTTCACCTCCTTCAGCTATGGATATTTAAGCAGAGATTCCATGTGGGACACTGGGAAAATTTTATAAGGAAATTCCGGTTACCGACGGAAAGAAGAGGCAGTAACGCAAGCAGATTTGCAGCCCTGTCAATGAGTCGATGCAAATCAACCTTCAAGACCTTCTCTGAAGGCACAACTTGCCAAGGGTAAATCCTTTTAAAATTTAGGGAGTCAGGAGAGGAGGCAGAAGAAATAGTAAGCCAGAAGCGCTCATGCTGTGAGGCGTCTCCTGCAACCAAAGGCATTTTTGCAGCTGATTTCCTCCACTGCAAGGCAGAGCAGAAGTGCCAACAGAGAAAAAGACAATTTTTCTTCTCCTCTATTTAATTTCTGCACCCTCCAGTTTGGCAACGTTCCTCTTTACCTCTGGCTGCTCCCTATTTCATTCTGCTGTAGATTTTCATTTCCTGTCGAGTTATTGTATTAAAGTACGCTGGGGATAAAACATGCTATTCTTTCATACTGTTCTTCCACTTCTCGTATTCTTCTTCAGTTCTGTTGTTGACAACTGGCAGTACAAAAATCGGAAGCCTGAAAGCACTTAAAGGCATCGCAGCCATCAAATCTATTTACAGAACTGTAACACTCCGTCGTGGATTCCAAAATATGGTCAGTTGTGTTGAATCAGAAATCAAGTAACAGAAAGCCTAACGTCACTGAAAGATAAACAGTCTTAATCCTTCAATGAAACCTGACACAAGCATAAACCCGCTCTATCCCTTCTGTTTCTTTTAGTTTTCTCTCTACCCCGATCTAGTTTACAGCAAAATGCCCGATAGCAATGTTAAATTCTTATAGTTCTGTGTAAAAGATCATTTGCCGCACTTAGGTCTGATATTTAGCTGGACTCATGGAATGAATTTGGTTTTGGTCCCAAGTCAGAAAACATGTGAAGCTAGTTTCCAGAACAGAGCTGGGCACAAAGACCACCACTATCCACAACGCATAGCTTCTGAAATCGATCACAAATGACAACTGATAAGCTTTCCTGCTACTCTGGTCACAACAGAGGATGGAAGTGCGGATATCCTGTACCCTGTGTGTTTTCCATTACTGAGAAAACAACTATTTACGAAACAACGTATGCTTCCCTATTCAAAAGGAGCTATCCATACTCCTTAAGCCGTTTTAACCAAAACCCCAGCCTTGTTGTCCCAAGTTTATCTGGTTTTGTTACACTTGGAAACAACCTAGAGCTCTGGCATGACCTTCGATACGCGGTGGTAAACGAAGGCATCCTCCCCGTACAGTAATCCGAGACAGGAGTTCTGCACCAGAACAGCTTATTACATAATGAAACGGAGGACGGAGAGGAGGAATAGCCCCAAATCCCAGCCTCTTCGAGCTTCCCAACAGAATAGTGAACCAGCTCAACATTCTTACTACAAGAACATTAAACTTCGGTTTAGACATGGGAGTTATTTTAATGAGGTTTTATTTAAATAAACTCGTTGCCTGTAGCCTTCTGTTTTGGCAGTAGTCAGATGGAAAGCCCTTGTACGAGTGCCAAATGCCTCCCAACCCAGCAATAGAATAAAACATTCGTTGCGAAGCCTACATGGCTGATCGTTTCCTGAGAACCTGGAGAAAGCTTTTACACCGACCGGAATAAACCCATCCCAGCAGAGAAGCCAGGCACTTTGAAACAGATGGATAGCTAAGGATGAACAGAAACGCCTGCTTCTGGAGCAAGCTTTCTGGGGCTCACCCTGCCACTCCTGACAGAATCCGGGTGGTCGACAGTCTAGGAAGGGATGAGAGATCCCCAAAGCGTTTTACTGCGGACGGTCTATTAAAGAGATTCCTCTTCAAGCAAAATTTAGAGAGTCTAGTAAAAGTTCAGGTGGAACACATTTTGGCAGGGGGTGGCAATCATTTGTTGGATTATTCCCTTTCTCCCAAAATGCTAAGTTTATCACTAATGAGAAACCACCTTTAAAATGACATTTAAACAAGCACGTGGAATTCTTCTAAAGCTTTAAATGACCCACTCCTTTGAAGCCGCAGCTGGGAGTTATACCCGCACTTCTTTCTCCCAGCCATGCAAGGCTGCAGAAGCGTAAAGTTCGCTTCTTAGAACCATCTTAGATGACTGCTAGTGCATTTCTTTCCCATATTAGTTAGAACCTCTCTAGATAAATCTATTCTTCCAAACATGTTCAGACTCTCAGCCCAGCTTACTGTATTAGTACAGGGAGGAGGGGAAGCCACGGAAGGGGAGCTGTGCTTTTAAAACTAGAAACTGGATTCTCTTCAACCAGTTTAACTTCTGACCTTCTCAGCTGTTGGATCAAGTTGTTGCAGCAGGCGTCAAGCCAGACAAGTAAAACATAAGGGCATGCAAGTTGCTCTGCATTCACTCTCTGGCTGTTGAGCTACTTGCAAAAGAAAGGTACAACATGTCAGATTGAAGTAACTTTTATTTAAAGATTAAAAATCCGCTGCCGATCACAATAATTAAAATTGAAACGTTAAATGGATTTTTTTTATTCCCATGCCAGAGATAACTAAACTGGGGCAGTGGGGTTAAAAAAATAAAAAATTAGTGGCATCAACCAGTAGAGAACAAGTCGCCGAGTAAGGAAGATGGTGCTGGACTCCCACACTTTCATAACTGCTTTCTAGGTTTCTTCCGAGCCTAGGTTCAAGCAGTTGCTGTGAATGACTGCACGGTGGGCTGCTAATCTCATTCTTACATGTATTCTAGAAATCTGGATGTAGCTTTAATTAAACTTAAATAGATAAAATACTAAAATGTTTTGAAAAAGTTTAATCTTACAGATATAAACTGAAAGAATGGTGTATTTACTGGACCAGAGGACTTTGAATGAGAACTGTGCTTTATTCCTTTCTGTCACGGACAAGCCGAGTGACCAGTGACGAGCCAGTTATCCTTTTTGTGCCAGTAATCTTTAATGCAAAACTGAAATTACCTGGTTTCTACAGCAAAGAGTGTTGTACAAAGAGAGAGTAATCTTCTAGAATAATCATTTGTTTCTTCAGTAAGCTACACAGTCACCCCGCACAAATGTTTTCAGTATGTTCTCTGACTGAAATCATGCCCCAGTGAAGCGAGAGGAAGTTTCCATCTGCCGCAGTAGGTCCCATACTTCACCCTGTGTCTGCGTGTCTGTGGGTCTCAGGCAGGACTCATACCAATGAAGACAGAAAACGAAACAGCAAAGTTTATGAAAGGCACAGAAAACGAAAACTTTATTTTGCTTTTGCCTCAAAACATACCTCTGCTTCCCCTGACTAAAGTGCCAACATCTATAAATTTAAGACCAAGTATATTACTCGTACAGATTTTATTACAAAGATTTAGCAAAAAAAGAACAGAACGTAAAAAAAGTATACATTAATTTGACAGTTCTTTAGAAAAAACATTTTAAAAAATAGTGAGAATCACGCTTGCCCCTGAACGTAGAGTTCGTAGTTTGCCTGTAACACAAACTTGAAGTAACCATTGTATTTCA